ACCAAAAGCACACCTTAAGGGTTGTAAAAGAATTTTTTGAAACCAAGAATATAAATTTGCTTCCATAACCATCTCAAAGCTCCGATCTGAACCCGATCGAGCATTTGTGGGAGGAATTATATCGTCGAATAATTATAACTGAAAGATACACAAAGTCAAAATTTGTAGAAGCATTGAAGAAGAAATGGAACGCTCCACTGCGCTGAAAAAGTTAATTACAAGTGTGACAAGTTGCTTTTTAGAAGTAATAAGTGCCAAACTATATCAAACTTCATACTAAAAAAATTACAATAATGTAAGATGTGCATTAAATTGCAATATCAACGAATTCCCCGTCTTCGGTTATATCAAAAATTTGGCTTTAGTTACACAATTTTGTGTCTGTATAGGAATTAGTATGCATTTCGTGTATTTTCTTCTTTTTCTTAAACTTCAACAAACACATCTGCACAATAAATAACTTCTTATACTCGTCTCGTTGACTTTATTTTTAGTCGTTTATAACAGAACCTTTCGTGTCAACGTAAATACCGATGAGAGTGTACTCCCCGGCATGAAATGATCCGTTCCGATCGGCTTTTTTTTTACAGTGTACATCGACGTCAACGAGGACGACCAGCCCTTGACGTTGGACATCAGGCTGCCGAATAGCTTGCAGCCGCGTATGTGGGAGATCCGGATCATTCAGCTGGCTTTCGAGCAGCGTGCACCGTCTGGCTGTCTGCAGTATTTTCAGGGGGCAAACGGCACCCTGAAAACGCTCAACTATTTGTCGAACGGTAGATTCCTCGCCGACCAGGATTATCTGCTTTGCATCCGCCAAGAGAGGGGAATGTGCGGAATTTCCTACGCACCTTGCACCAGGGACTCATTTCGAATAGGTCCTTCGAGAATGCTGATCGGCGACGCGAACGGCACCAACGCGAACGCGTCGTCTCTCGTCGTCGCCGAATCATCGGTCGGTAACGCGACGGGAAACGCGACCGGATTCGCGTTCGGGCAAAATCCTGCGAACAACGCGGCTTCCGTGAATAATACTGACGCGGATATCGAAGGATCAGGAACGAATCCCATCGACCAGGACACCGGTACCTCGATGAACGTATCGAATCTCATGGAGGCAGGCATGGATTCGAATGTATCGCCTTACGGACGAGAACGGTGCAGAAACAGGGTGCTCATCCCTTGCGACTTTGAGGAATTTATTACGGTAATATTTCTGTTTATTCGCAGCAGCGGTAGTAAATATCGGGCGTGGAAGTCGAAATTTTGCTTTATTTTCTACGGGATCATGCGAGGTTGTATTCTTTGAAGTTCTGACATTTCTCGAGATGTACAGAGTTTGTTGTCCCGTGTTAACCGTCGCGAGCTGTTTCCTCGTTTTCGTCGGTATCGTTGTGTAACGTTGACTTGAAGTTATTGTTCGCGAAGTACAGTATGCATTGCGTCTTATGACTAAACTTCGGACGTTTATGCGAATGCATATGTTTGTAGGGAAGGGATAAATTTATAGGACTCGGGCAGATATTTGTTTTAGCACTAGAGGTTTCCAGAAAATATAACTTCTTTTTACTTATGTTTTGTATATTGCATATTTTTTT